GAATATAAACCCTGAACCCTAAACATCCCTAAACCCTATGTAGATAGGAGGATCCTTCTGAAGAGGAACCCTAAATAATGGTATCCGATGCGCCCTCGACCCTTATTTAGCAAATTACAGTACTCCTTTACAACCTTTGCGGAAGGCTTGCAGAAACCCAATTCTACTCTTTTGGAACCTTTATGGAACCCGTGTAGAAACCCGAAACCCCAAACCCTGAAGCCCCCAAACCCGAAACCTTAAACCCTAAAATCTCTAAACCCTAAACCCCTAAACCCCTGAACCCCTAGACCCCTAAACCCCTAGACCCCTAAAGCCCTAAACCCCTGAAGCCCTAAACCCCTAAAGCCCAAAAATCTCTAAACCCTAAATCCCTAGACCCCTAAACCCCTAAACCCCAAATGCCCAAAAATCTCTAAACCCTAAACCCTAAACACCCCCTGCCCTAAGCCCTGAGCTGAACGAGGCGCCGGGGCAGCTTTCGCGAGGAAGAGGCGCCTTCTGCCCGCGTCGGAAACCATCGTCCAGGTGAGGGCCTCCGGGTGTAGCCAGACCTCAAGATTTCGGGTTTCAGGGTTCCGGGTTTAGGGTTTCAGGGTTCGGGGTTTAGGGTTTGGGGTTCGGGGTTCAATAGGGGTTAGGGTTCAGGGTTCAGGGCTTCGGGTTTAGGGTTTAGGGTTCAGGTTTTAGTGTTCAGGGTTTAGGGTTCGGGCTTCAGGGTTTAGAGTTCATCGTTTAGGGTTCGGGGTTCAAGGCTTACGGTTTAGGGTTCAGGGTTGTCGGGTTAGGGGTTCAGGGTTTAGGGTTCAGGGTTCAGGGCTTAGGGTTAAGGGCTCTGGGTTTAGGGTTTAGGGTTTAGGGTTTGCGGTTCAGGGTTTAGGGCTTAGGGTTGAGGGTTTAGGGTTCAGGGTTTAGGGTTTGGGGTTTGGGGTTGAGGGTTTAGGGTTCAGGGTTTAGGGTTGGGGGTTTGAATTTTGGGTTTAGGGTTTGAGTGTTCCATAAGGGGGTGGTGCAAGGGTTCGGAATCTAAGGGATTTGTCAGGCTTACTAAAAGGGTTGCTGCAAGGGAGGGCTACCGTAAGGGTTCATAAGTTAAGTGTTTAGTGGGGGACTTCGGGGGGGCTCCGGAGCTGCAGGGTGTGAACCTCTGGGTTTATGCATGCACTCATGGGGCAATCTAGAAGTGAACTGCCTGTGGATAGCTGCCTCAAGAAGCGACGGCTAAGGCTCACGTCACGGAAGAGATTCGTACTGTTGCCGGAGCACATCGAAAATCCGCCGGGACTACAAGAACCGGTGACAAACGGCGCAATTGCAGAACCAACGCTTGGTTTGGGTTCAGGGTGAAGGACCCTTCTCGATTCCCTCAGAATGACCCGCATATATCCCTTGAAGTACTGTAACGGCTCAGAAAGGAAGCTCTAGGCTTACCAAGAGGGTTTCGACTTCTACAGCCAGCCTTCACCATGGTCAAAGCTTCGGCCGCAAACCTTAGCCGCCTTAGCCTGGAACGATGATTCCGAAACCCCAAACCCCAAACCCGAAGCCCCAAACTCCAAAGCCCCAAACCCCAAACCCTAAACCCTAAACCCGCCCCCCACCGACTGAGACCCAATGCCGAGGCACCCCCCGGATAGGACAGGGCTCATCCTCCGTGAGCTGCTTGTAGGCGATCTCCGTAACAGGCTGTTGAGCCTGCAAGCCCCAGCCACAGTACACTTATGGAAAAAACGGATATACAAAACTGTGAACGGCGCATATAATAGTATAATCTGCTCAATACGAATATAGAAAAAAAACTAGGGTTCAGGGTCTACGCTTCAAGGTCGGGGGATCAAGCAAGCAGCGGCTGATGATCTTTCGCATATAGACATGTCATCTATCTGTCTGTCTGTCTACCTGGTGAAATACCATCTCGAAAATCATCGAGAAGGATTAGGCCCATCTGCAGACAATAATCATGTTGATGCTCTTCACTATCGTAAACTATTGCCAACAGCACTCCCCGCAAACCCTGGCTTCTGTTGAATCCTTCTTCGACAATGGAGGGCGGCCGAAGTGACTACCGACCGCCTAATTATGGACGGACGGCTCAAAGTGTAGAACTCGCTAGGCCCGTGCATGCAGAATTTCGCAGATGCTTCAGGTTCTGGATCCATGGCATACCCTTGCGACCCAAAATCAAAAGGCACATCGAAAGTAAAGGCTCCGCAGGAAAAGCAAAGTGGTTCCTGCCAAGTCCGGCTGCACATGGCACGAAGACAAGGAAGCCATTCGAAACGAAGGTTCCCTCTCAGGCGGACTCCCGGACGGTTTAGGGTTTAGGATTTAGGGTTTAGGGGAAACAGGCGCTCCTGAAAAAATATCCCTACTCCCAGATATCACCAGACGCCTGCACCTTCAGTGTCCCGTCCGCTTCTTCCTCTGCTTGCACGAAAGCGCCACTCGCGAGCCTTCACAGGGTTTAGGGTTTAGGGGACAGCTTGCTAGGCAAGCAGGGGCAGGCGCCGACCCACTCATAGCCTCCCGGCACGAAATGCGTGGTTGGATGCAAGACGGAGCCGGCTAACATTGGGAATCCGGGCTTTGACACTACAGTTAGCCCGGAGAGTCATATTGAGAACTTGATTGAAACAGTGACGCAAGCCGATGTGCTACATGGCCTGAAGCTCACTTCGTGCTGCGCAGCATCAGGGGCGGTACACCTCGATGTAGGCTTCCGGGCGTCGGTTTGGGGGTTTAGCTTTGGCATTTGGGGCCTAGCAACCCAGCGTGCGGAGCAAAGGGAGCATTAGCCTGTGCCTGCCGCTTGGCAGCAGTGATGACGATGAGTTGAAGATAGTAGCAGGAAGCTCATGACTTAAGATAGTGGCCAAAGAAAGGGCAACAAGTAGACAGTACTAGTAATAGTAAGGTTTAAGTTACCCGAACTAGCCTCAATGCAGCCACCTATGAAATTCCTTGCTGCATCAAATGGAACGCCACTGAACTGAAAACTCTCCACTCCAAGGCTTGAAAGCCCAAGCCCAACATCTCTCCACCGGAAGGACAGAACGAATCCCCACAGCTAGTGCCTGAACCCTAAACCCTAAACCCTAAACCCTAAACCCTGGGCTTAGCGATATACAGCTTTCTGCTTTAGGGCCCCAGACCCGAAACCCTGGACCAGGCATCCGAGACCCTAAACCCTGGTAGAGTCCACGATGGCACCCTTAAAGGAACCTTAAAGGAATCCTTTAGGGGATCCCTTAAGGGGTTCCTTTAATTTAAAGGAACCCTAAAAGGGAACCCTTAGAGGAAATTCTAGACCTCAAAGAAGGACCCGAGCGGCCGCAGGACTCCGGTAGCCGACTCCGTGCCGGCACGCCAGGCAAGGAAGTCGCAGAGAATCTGGATTTAGGGCTTAGGGGTTTAAGGGTTTAGGGGTTTAGGGTTTAGGGTTTAGGGTTTAGGGGTTTTGGGGTTTCGGGTTTCGAGTTTAGAGTTTCGGGGTCTAGGGGTTTAGGGTTTAGGGTTTAGGGTTTAGGGTTTCGGGGTTTAGGGGTTTTGGGCTTAGGGGTTTAGGGCTTAGGGTTTAGGGTTTAGGGTTTAGGGGTTTCGGGGTTAAGGGGTTTTGGGCTTAGGGGTTTAGGGCTTAGGGTTTAGGGTTTAGGGTGGGGACTGCCCCCATGCGGTAACCGTCTAATAACGGGGATATTGCAAGGGCCTTGTATTAGCTATGCTGTCAATGTTGTTAGCTGTTACTAGGCGATGGCAGTATCCAAGGCTTAGGAATAATTCATGGGCATTGTAGGGTTTCATGTGTTTGGCTTGGGCTTCACGGGGCGTTATGGGGTTTCGTAGGGTGTCGGGTTTAGGGATTAGGGTGTTATAGGGTTGCTTTGATAGGGTGCTATAGGGTGTCCTTGGGGTTTGATTGGGTTTCATAGCGAGGATGCTTTCTGGTTACATAGGATTTCATGAATATTTTAGGCTTTCATAAGTCTTCACAGGATGTGACGGGATTCATTGGGGTTTACTTGGGATTTTACGTGGGTGGTAATATAGGGGCCTTAATAATTAGAATAGGGTTTTGGGCTCATTTGTAGCATAAATATAATCAGGAACCCCCAAAGTAATATAGGTTCAAGCCCCTAGAGGTGCAGGGTTTTGGGGTTAGGGTGCACTGCCCCTGGAATCAGCCCAAGCACTTGCGCGAGCCTCCGCCTGAATCCCAACCGGAAATGAATCAATCCCAACCCGAGGCCCAAGGCCGACACCCTCAACCCCAAAAAGGCACAAGCCCTAAACTCTAAACTCGGAACCCCTTGATTATGGTTTTGGGTCACGTTCTACTATCAAAACATTATTCACTCAAAGGAGCTATTCGTACTAGCTACCTCTAAACCTCAAACCCTAAACCTGAACGCCCAAGCCCGAAACCCTGAGCCCAAGAAACCCGTCGACGGCGCCTGGAAGAAATTCGGGTCTCTGTCCCCCAGCGCTCGCGGCAATTCGGCACCAAGTCCCGCGAGGTGGGCGCGAGGACTGGCAAGAAGAGAGGGCTCAGGGCGATCCATTCCGAGTCAGGTTTTAGGGTTTAGGGCTTAGGGCTTAAGGTTTAGGGTTCGTTTAGGGTTTAGGGCTTGGGGTTTTAGGGTTTAGGGTTTGGGGCTTAGGCTTAGGGGTTTGGCCCTAACCTAAGGGTTTAGGTTAGGGCTGAGGGTTTAGGGCTTGTGGTTTCGGGTGGAGGGCTCAGAGCTTCAGGTTTGGCGTTGAGGGTTTAGGGTTTGGGGTTTAGGGCCTTAGGGCTTCGGGCGTGGGGCTTAGGGGTTAGGGCCTTAGGGTTNNTAGGGGTTTGGGTTTAAGGCTTTGGGAGTTTCGGGGGTTGGGGTGTCGGGGTTAAACTGCGTGCCGGTTTAAGCACACTAGCTTGCGGAGTCTGCCGATCCCTCAGCTACATTCTAAGTTCCAGAAAAGGCGCCAGTCAACCACTATTTATAAATAAATAAATATATATA